ATCAAGCATACCAGCAGGAGGTAAAGATATAGTAGCATACAAAGTCATCCCTGGCTGAATTCTACACTTCAATGAATCTCTGTGTGAACAACTTCTACATGGTAAAAAATCAAACATGAATCTTTCTGAAAATTTGAACATATACTATATATGTGCAATTGTTTACAAACCCAGAATAAGAAAACAATATGATAGGTATAGAAATTTCAACACCCTTTCAGTCAGTACTATATTAACATCTCCTTTGGAAGAAATAACAGCATCCAAACATTTCCTATAGTCTTTCTCTTTTTGCTTTTGGAATTTTTTCCCATTCTTCCTCACAGAACTCTTCTAGCTCAGTTATATTTTAGGTCTCTTTGCAGACTCCGCATGTTTGAGATCTCCTCACAGATTTTCAATTATTCCAGTCTGGGGACTGTGAAGACCATTCCAAAATCTTTTACTTTCTTTCCTCTAAGTATATCATTTGGAGAATATTTTGGATTGTTGTCTTGCTGAAATATCCAAACTTTTTTCAGCTTCAATTTCTTCCCTGACTGTAGGATATTAGCCTGAAGACCAAGAAGAATCTGGCCAGAATTGCTCCCAAAATTGGTCAGATCTGAACAACAGAAACCACAGTTCACTGCAAACAACAGCTGAAAAGTTTAGCTGACACTGGAGCAATTGTCCACAGGTGCATAGTACAGCAATGTTTATACAATGGTGAACTGCATGGGAGAGATGTGAAAAAGAAACCTTTTCTCTGACTTCATCACAGAAGTTGTGGTCTCAAATACGCAAAAGAAAATCTTGATAAGTCTGAAACATTTTGGTACATATGACCTATAAAACAAAAATTGAACTGTTCAACCACAATCACTCAAGATACATTTGGAGAAAACAGGATGAAGCATTTGAAGAAAATGCTTGCCAACCATTAAGCACGCGGGTGGTTCTATTATGCTTTAGGGTTGTGTGGCAGCCAGTGGCACAGGAAATATTGTGTGGGTGGAAAAAAGAATGGGTTCAACTAAATATCAAGATATCCTAGAAGCTAATGTTCCAGTCAGTGAAGAAACTGAAGCTGAAAAGAGGCTGACTATTTCATCAACACAACAATTTGAAACGAGAGAGAAAGAAAGAAAGAAAGAAAGAAAGAAAGAAAGAAAGAAAGAAAGAAAGAAAGAAAGAAAGAAAGAGAGAGAGAGAGAG